AGAGTGGACAGGCTTGGTCCTGTCCTAAGTTTAACCTTACATTTATTAAAAGGATAAAACTGTAAAAACATGAGTGTAGGTAGATATTACCAGCTGAGGTAGCACCATCCAAGGAGCCACATGGGACAACACGGGACCCAGAGGAGAGGTTAAGCTTAAGCTCCAAACTTCCACAAGATCCAAAAGCCAAACCCCTTTATCTAGAGCTGATCACCATCCACTGTGCAGATGGTAGAAGAAGTAAAATATTAGAATTGCCAGCAATAACAACAATAATATTAAAGCCGCAAGCAGCGTCGAACGTCCCTCGCCTCACCGCGCGCACTCCCCGCGCCACGCGCACCACCCCGCGCCATGCCGCCCCACACCACGCCGCCTCGCACCAAGCGGATCTGCACCACGCTGCCCCACACAAAGCCAAGCTCGCACCAAGCGGATCTGCACCACGCCACCCCGCACCAACGGGCAAAGGAGGTGGCGCCGCTGTGTGATGATTTGTTCCCGTAGCCATAGAAGAATGTTAGTCATTCTTCTATTGCTAGATGATGTGGAGCGATTTTGAGGCGAATCGGTGAAACGGTTGAGGAGGAGAAGATTTCCAACCGACACGTACTGTATGAAAACAATTGCTGTAAATTTTTCCATTTTGCATTGAAATTCATGGGCTTCCTGTTTGTCAGAGGGCGGGGCCATAATAACATTTTATTCTTGTCCTGACTTGAGGAACATGTGTACCGAATTGTATGGCTCTACGAGAAACTTGATCTCCAAAACTCCCATAGGGGTATTATTTTGGCTGTTGTAGGTGGCGCTGTTCTGGCATTTTTTGAGTCCCATAAAAATAAACACCAAAATATAAAATTTTTCGGCAGGTCTGATTTTTCGGCAAAATTTTACATCTTTTCATGCATGTTCAGGGGGTCAAATTAAGGCTCAAAGTGCAGAATTTTACATCTCTCGAGCAAAAACAATAGGCCCTTTCCGCATTCGGGGCTCGGGTCTAATAATAAATACAAATAAAACGAGTGAAACTAAAATAAATAAATGAATAAAGCAACAATTATACAAAATAATGAATTCTAATCAAAGGGTATTTTCCAAAAGTGTATCTTGAGCCTACTCCGCTAAGCTGTCATAGACGGGGGGCCTTAGTGCTGGAAAGATGCCTCACTGTGAAGACCCTGACTTTGGGAATGACTAGGAGCCTGTCACATCTTTAGATCAGCTTCTTTAGACTGAAGAGTGAAAAAAGATTGTACAAAGTGTGTACATAAGTGAATGGAAAATTACTCAAACATGCATGAATCACTCTAAAACATACCTTTTATTGTGTAAATGACAACGGGAAAGAACTATTACAGTCAAGCTGTAGAAAGTTCCTTTTCCACATCATGTCCCCTTTAAATATTTCTCAGGATTTATAAGGTTGCAGACCATTCCAACAATAGTTATTTCACCTTTTAAAGTACAATTTACTGTTGCATACATACATATAATAGAAATGTCCCCTTTCCCATCCAAGCAGCCTGTGATATATTAGCCAGTCTTTGATAAATACCAAACCTGTATGAAACCCCGGCGTAAAAGATCTCACTAATCATGTTGTAACTGGGTTTGAGGTAATCGCTGGAGGAAATGTCAGTGGTGTCTACACGAGCCTGAAAATGTCTCCCAATGCAGAATTAACTCGCAGCAAAAAATACATTCAGCGACAACGCAAGGTCTAATGCGTGACAACACTGACAAAATGTTTAAAATGTCCCTCCGTCTCGGATTAAACAACGACAATAAATCACCAATGTACAGCAGCTGCCAGCATAACATTACTGTACAGAATAAAAGGGAAGAATTATAATAAGTAACAGTATAGTAGAAGATGGATTCTGTGCAAGATTTTCCTTCTTTTTTTTTTATGTTTGCACTTTATGTTGTATTCTATTAAACGCGTGGTTCATTACATATATAGATGTATATATGTATATATACTAAATTCACCTCTCCTCTTGCATTGAAAATAAACTAGAACATGGTCAAAAGCTGAAAAGTTGTGTTTCTTATAAGTACACACTTTGCGATGCACAGAGATTCATCTGTGCATCACAAACTTCAACTGGCGCAGAGTCTCGGATGTGTGACCACTTTTCACTGACGACATCTCTGGTGAGACTGAATATGGAAGTGAGCAGACTTATTTCTTTACATTGTTTTAGCTCATATTTTACACAGTAAAATGAACCACTGGAGTCATAGATTATCAAAAGACAGAAGTGTGATATGCCTTTGTTTATAATAGGTCAGTCAACTTGCCTTATAAAAATGTCAGTTTTTTATTAAAAATGCTGAATAAATAAATGTATGCATCTTTATTCAGACACTGCAAAAGGCAAAGAAAACCTGTCACAATGACGTGCAGACCTGGCAGCCAATCACAGTCGACATTTTCTTCGACTTTCATCAAAGTTGAGAAAAATAGATTTAAACAAAGTAAAGACAGTTTGCGTGTACCAGGAGTAATGAAAACTGGTGAACAATGCTCAAACATGCATGCATTGTGGGAAAATAAAAAGTGGAATCAATATGAAATGATTCATTATGGTCCATTACTCTGAATGTGGCCATGCCATGTCTAAATGGTATGGACATATTTTCTTGCATTTAGAAGTATACACAAGACATCTTTCTGTGATAAATGGTTTGTATTAGCATTGGGACGACAGTTAATGGAAATTTATTGTTGACCCTATCAACTTGGAACTTGTCATTGTAGATTTGTAAGATGAAACATTTTGCACAAAACGTTTTAGTTTTCATGAACTTAACTGGAAAGCTTTCTGTGCTTTCCATCTGTACTGAATTTTAAACTGATTATCCTGTCCTTTTGTGATCAATTCATGAACACTCTTCGTAATATTGCTTTAGAAAACACTGGTGCTTGCTGTACTTTTCTCTGCACTGCACATTTGCGAGTCAATTAAGAGACTCGCACTTGCCAGAATACCTCCATTTAGATTCACTGGGAGCTCCAATTAGCAGCATCTCTTCCTCTGAACACTGCGGTCTCTAATGGCCAGCCTGAGATTGATTTGAATGCAAACCAGAGACCACTTACACAAACTATTTATTAAGATTTTTTTTCTTCACTCACGGACAGTTCAGCAAACAGTTTACACTACATTAATTATGCATTGTTGTGCATCCCTCGCTCTAAGTGTGATTGAAAATGGATGAGAATTAAAAGTGCTAAAAGCCGTCTGCTGGCCTTTTATCAGAATAATGGCAATAATTATTGCGTTTCTTTTCTAAAGGGTGTTTCTCCTCTCTCAGTTCATTATAAATTGAGCAAAGGCTCTTTCTTAATTTCCAATTTAGCAATATGTAGTTTGACAATTAGTACACATTTGTGTATTCTAAAATTACTATTGCAAATTGTGTTTGGCACAACATTTATTCCAAGCTCTTACACCACTCGTCACACTGCATAAGGTCAATCGCCATTCCGCAGATTCCAGGACATTCATGTGGGCGCAAACATCAAGTGAAAATTTTGCCTTTTATTGCTTAAATGACTACTTTGTCAACGTATCAATACATCCCATATTAAAACTGAGGTATACTCTGCTCACTTGTTACTGGAAAAGTATATCTTGATTCGATAAAGTGTGATCACAGGGGTGATCACACTTTCACATACATCCAGGCCGTAAAGGTGTTCTTTACGGCCTGGATGTATACACTTTGGCACTATAGGCACTATACTGCACTAGTACTATATAGACCTACATACAGACTACTAAAATGATCCTTAATTACAGCTCTTGACTGTAGTAGCCTTTTCTCTATTTGTGTTTTGAGCTCTTATAGGAGAAAATTTACTCACGCATGCATTGGTTTTCAATTATGGCAAAATGTCTGTAAAGTTTGGAGGTCATCTGCATAATATCTGCAATCAGTAAAAACCATTAATGATATAGCCAAACTTACAATACAAAGACTTAATATCTTAAGTGTATGCCACATGTTTCAGCTGACATTTGTCCATTTTCCAGTAAAGTCATCATTATCCATTACAGTGGAAGTCTGCCGTATTGGTATGTGTTTTTGAGCTGTTATAAGATTTAGCTGTGTGTTTGTAATGAGGCACTCCACGGGCGGTTGGGCATCGATGAGCCATGCGTTTGACACACTGCTCAGATGGGAGTACTTTTACTGCCTGTGTCATTGAGTTAAGTGAGCAGCAAATTGTGCACGATTATTCCCAGCAGTGTTGTCAATACGAACATCAATATCCTCATTCAGATCGCTGTGAAATGGATAAAAGTCAGTCCAGATTAAGGGCATCATATTTTGTCACTTGAATATTATGGATATGGTAAATCTTCCCATTTCACAACAATAACTCTGATCTAAGTTCAATATGCAGTTTGTGATCGAGACATACATTTTGATAGACAATCTTATGACTGAAATGTAATAGAATAGAAAGAAAAAACAGAAAATTACCTACATAAATTAGATTAGACTGGTTGAAAGCAAACAGTTTGTGGTACCAGATACAGACTTGTAAGATGTTGAATAGATTTGTATTGAAATTTAGGGTGCATTCGTTTAGTGAACATACTTCACCTCAGACGCAAATGCAACAGTCCTCATAAAGTCACAGATGTGTTTCAAAAAAAATGATCAGACTTTTATGAATGTAAGATAAGATATTCCTTTATTTGTCCCACAGTGGGGAAATTTCAATGTCATCGTTGTCATCAGATTGTACACATCAAACAGGGTCTATTACTTATGATAATAGGGTCTATTATTTAAGATAATAGATAATACAATAGAATATAATACAATTAAAATAATGAAACAATCTTGAGCTATAATTGCACTTGGTTCGGACTTGGTAGTGAACCTGGGCAAACTTGGACAAAGTGTGAATGCACCATAAAACATGCAGGTATAATGATCCTTTGTATTTATTGATGTGTTTTAACCCCTTTTTTCAGATGTTGGTGACAACTCCAGAGAAGTGGGACGTTGTGACCAGGAAAAGTGTCGGTGATGTCGCTCTGTCCCAGATTGTTCGCTTACTCATTTTGGATGAGGTTCACTTGCTTCATGAAGACAGAGGGCCTGTGCTGGAGAGTCTCGTGGCGCGCACCATAAGACAGGTAAAATACTAGCAATGACTTTACAATGCAGAAACTTTACAGCATTGTGCAAACAAGTGCAAGCAATTTAAACAATGTATGGATGTATAAGTATTAGGGCTGGGATAAACGATTATTTTTTAAACGATTAATCTAGCGATTATTTTTTTGATGCATCGATTAATCTACAATACAATACAATACAATACAATTTATTCTTGTATAGCCCTAGGTCACAACAGAAGTCATCTCAGAGGACTTAACAAAACCATTGAAATCACCAACACAGGTCAGAGAATCAACAGTTAAAACACATGAAGAATATAAAGCACACACAGAAGAAAATGTCCATACATGTTGTAGAATGCTAAAGTGTCCTGATCATCACCAATCCTTTCTGTTGGACACTAACTGTCCAACAAGACCCTCCTGCATCGACAAGGAAAAACTCTTAAAAAACCCAGTGGGAAAAAGTGAGAAACCTTGGAGGAGAACTAGGGAAACCCACAGGGAGGGAGACCCATATGAGAAAGGGATCCGCTCCTCCGGACGGACAGGCTAATGATCTAGGACCTAAGCTAGCTACAGAACGTGGACCAGTGGACGCTGAACGTGGACAGGTCCGGTGCAGGACTGAAGCACTCCCAGGCGGGTCGGGCGGGGCAGTCCGCAGGTGTAGATGGAAGAGGCCAGGCTCAGAGATCCCGTCATCGTACCATGAAACAGACAATGGGACAACGGGTGAATAGCAATGAACAAACTACAGTCAGAATCCTAAAAATGCTAAACAGATAAAGTAGGAAGGAGGAGAGGATAGTGCTCAAGTTACCATACTTCTCCCAGCAAACTGACTCCCTATGCAGCTTGACTAACACTCTGAGGAGTTTAACCTTCTCCGAGTCTTACCTTCCTAGCCATATGCTAAACTAAAGAGGACTGTTTTAAACCTAGCCTTGAATAAAGAATAACATACAGCATAATATATAACATAATATACAACATAACACAATACATTATTGAATAATATATAACATAATATATAACATAATACAGCATATATATATAATATATACACTACATATTATATATTACCTAATTATATGCTAAATTAAAGTAAAGTGCTTTAAGCCTGGCCTTGAATGTGGAGACCGTATCTGCTTCCTTAACATAAATGGGAAGCTGATTCCACAGTAAAGGAGCTTGGTAGCTAAATGCTCTGCCACCAACAGTGACCTTTGAGACCTTAGGGACCACCAGACGGCTGGCGTTTTGTGAGCGCAACGCTCGACTTGGTTGATACGACACTAACGTGTCTTGGAGATAAGAGGGAGCCAAGCCATTTATGGCTTTATATGTTAAGAGTAGGATTTTAAACTTTATTCTGTACTCCACAGGGAGCCAGTGGAGTGATTTTAACACCGGAGTTATGTGCTCCCTCCTTTTGGTACCTGTTAAGATCCTTGCTGCTGTATTCTGAACGAGCTGGAAGCTCTTCAAAGAGGCTTTAGGGCACGCTGCCAGTAAAGCGTTACAGTAGTCGAGCCTTGAGGTGACAAACGCGTGAATGAGTTTTTCCGCGTCACTTTTAGGAAGGAAATTCCTAATTTTAGCGATGTTCCGTAAGTGGAAGTACGCCGTTTTAGTTGCTTGGCTTATATAAGCCTTGAAGGAGAGTTCTTGGTCAAAAATGACTCCAAGATTCCTCACAGTGTTACTGGGTATTATACTGACATTATCGAGAGTAACCATCTGGTTAGTGAGGGAGTCACGCAGGCGCTTCGGACCGAGTAGGATCACTTCTGTCTTCTCCGGGTTGAGAAGTAGGAAGTTAAGAGTCATCCACATTTTAAGGTCCTTTATGCAGGCACTGAGCTTTTCTAGCTGATCTGTCTGATTAGGCTTCATCGACAGATAAAGCTGTGTGTCATCTGCATAGCAGTGGAAATTAATTCCATGCTTTTTAATAATGTTTCCCAGTGGCAGCATGTAGAGAGTAAAAAGAATCGGTCCGAGCGGCACACCGAATTCCACTCCAGAATAAGGCGACGAGTCCTGATTCACATTGACGAAGTGATATCGATCTGATAAATAGGATTTAAACCAGCCAAGGGCTGTTCCTCTAAGACCTATATCACATTCTAGCCTCTGCAGTAGAATGCTGTGGTCTATTGTGTCAAATGCAGCACTAAGGTCCAGTAGGACCAGCACTGACACTTGTCCATTATCGGCAGCTAGTAGTAAGTCATTTGTGACTTTGACTAGTGCCGTTTCAGTGCTATGATGAGCTCTGAATCCTGATTGAAAGACTTCAAACATATCATTTTCCTGCAGGTGGCAGCGGAGCTGCTCAGCTATAAGTTTTTCCAGGATTTTAGATATAAAAGTGAGGTTTGAGATCGGTCTGTAGTTTGTAAGTATTTCTGGGTCCAGGTTTGTTTTCTTCAGAAGGGGTTTGATTACCGCGGTTTTAAAAGCTTGTGGGACATAGCCACATTGTATGGATGCGTTTATTATATTTACAATAGGCTCAATTATCAAAGGAAGTATGTCTTTGAAGAGCCATGTCGGGACTGCGTCTAACATGCAAGTTGAGGCTTTTGAGGATGTGACCACAGAGATCACCTCTGCTTGGCTCACAGCCATGAATTTATTAAGGCCCACTGAAGAGTCTAAGTGGGAAGTCACGTATGCCGCTTCAACCTGTCCACCACTAACAGCAGGAGCAACCTCCTCCAGCTTGTCACGGATGGATGTAATTTTATTATTAAAGAAGTGGAGAAAGTCGACACTGCTCAGTGAGCTTGGAATTTTAGGCTCGATTGCGCTATGGCAGTTTGTGAGTTTAGCGACGGTGCCAAACAAAAATCTACTGTTGTTTTTATTCGCTTCTATTAAAGTTGAATAGTATTGAGTTCGAGCCCCGCGAAGGGCCTTCTTGTAGTTTCGGAGACCTGCTTTCCACTCCCTGTGGACAGGCTCCGAGTGGGAGTGGCGATATAGCCTCTCCAATTTTCTGACGTCCTGTTTTAAAGTGTGGAGTTGAACACTGTACCAGGGCGACGATGATCTAATCCTAATGGTTTTCTGTTTTAAAGGAGCTGCTGCATTTAATGCAGATTTTAAAGACTCCATAGTGTTGCCCACCGTTTGGTCAATGACTGAGGGACTGCAGCTGCTGTGAACAGGTTCACCTGCAGCAGTATTCAACATAGGCTGTATTAGTTCTTTGAACCTTGTGATAGATTTATCATTTAAGGTTCTTTTCATTATGGTTTTATCTTGCGGGACAGGAAAGTCCTCCAAAGCGAGATCAAACGTGATCAAGAAATGGTCAGACAGCAACGAGCTTTGACGCTGGATGGCAACATTGGAGACATCACAGCCGTAGGTCAGGACAAGGTCCAAGGTGTGGTTATGAATGTGAGTAGGTTCCTCGACATTCTGAGTAAAACCAACACCATCTAGTACGGCGCTGAAAGCTTTGTTTAAGCTGTCAGTGCTGTCGTCCACATGTATATTGAAGTCTCCAGCTATAACTATGTTTTCCCATTCCAAAACTAGGTTTGAAATGAAGTCAGAGAATTCTGTTAGGAACTCGCTGTAAGGACCAGGAGGTCGGTATAAAACTATAAATAGTACTGCTTTTTGTTTTCTCCACCCAGGACAGGTGATTGAAAGTGTTAAGTTTTCAAACGAGTGAAAAGCGTTGTTGGTTTTGGGACTAAGAACCAAGTTGGTGTGTGATATAATCGCAACACCACCGCCGCGACCTGTAGCTCTGGCTTTCTGGTAGTTAACACATGCGTCGGAGGAGTGCACTCATTCAATCTAACGTAGTCGTCCTGTTGGAGCCAAGTCTCCGAGAGCGCAAACAGATCCAAGCCCTTGTCTATAATAAGTTCGTTTATGAGAAGCGATTTAGACGAGATTGATCTGACGTTCATTAAACCACATTTAACAACCCTACCGCTAGAACTATTTCTGTCTGTCTGAACTTTTATTAAGTTACTGTGTCTGACACCTAGGTCAGATTTCCTCGCATATAGTGCTTTAGACTTCAAGCGGGGAACACACACAGTTTCAATCTGACTAGGTTCTGAGGCTAGTAACTGAGCACACACAGGCACACACACACATGCACACACAGTTTCAATTTGACTAGCCTCTGAGGCTAGTAACTGAACAGATGGGGGCTCAGAGGTTGTGGCAGAGCAGCTCTGCACCCGGGCCTCAGTTCTGCATCGTCATTTGAGCCGAGCAGAACAGTTTAGAGCCAGGGCCAAATTCTTAGCCAAAAGGGATGTACCCGCCAACGTTGGGTGGATATCATCCGAGCGGATGAGACCGGGCTTTCCCCAAAAGGCACTCCAATTGTCAACATGAACAACACCACTTCGAGGGCACCAGCCAGACAGCCAGCGGTTGAAAGCCGAGTGTCTGCTGAATGCTTCTGCACTGCTAGTGCTAGGTAGGGGCCCAGAGAAGATGACAGTGTCGGCCATTGTGCTAGCCAGCTTGCACACGGCGGCGACTTGCAGCTTCAACACCTCGGACTGTTTCCGCCGAACGTCATTACCACCCGCGTGAATAACAATTCGACGGAAACGCTGCTTGTGGGTCATCATGAGCCTCAGATTCCCTTCAATATCACCAAGCCTGGCCCCAGGGAAGCACCGAACAGTGGCTCCTGGGATCTTAACACCTCTAACAATAGAGGAGCCAATTACCAGCGCATCAGCGACTCCATCGGCTCTCTCAGCAGCTCTCTCAGCGGCTCTCTCAGTGGGGCGTTCTTCCCCGCCCGGCCGCGCGGGGGCGCAGCCGGACAGAGCGTCCCAGCGATTGTAAATGCTAACAGGAGGAGGCCCAATAAGGAAACTACCAACAACACGTCGCCCTCTCCGAACAGTCACAAAGCCATCACTATCCTGGTCTTGTCCCAGCTGCGGAGGACGGGCTGGGAGGCTAGGCTCGCTAGTTCTCCTCTGCCTTTCCCTAAAGCTGCGCTCCGCTGTCCCTGA